AATAATTTCATGTGTTTCCTTTGTTTTTGTTTTTTACTGAATTGTAGGAAATAAAGTTATTGGATAATTTATTTATTCATTCATATGTATGAAAGTCGATTAAAAACTGGGCATAATGATATTGCTTTTTGAAATTAAAATGTGATTATTAAGTCATTAAAAGCCCATAACTGCTCCGACATTACTCCTATTTTTGAGTGAATGTGGACTTCTCATCATAACCATAGCAGTTTATGTCTTCATAAAAAATGGGTTTTCTTTTCTGTGTTTCCAGGCTGATGTTTTCTCCTATGGAATAATCCTTTGTGAAATCATTGCAAGGGTCCAGGCTGACCCCGACTTCCTTCCTCGCACGGAGGTAGTGGCTCATCTCCTTTTCACCTCCTTTCCTTTCATAATACTGAGTGTACATGTTTGCAGTGTACACATCTCAAACAAATCAGGAACAGAATCTTAAGTATGAGACATTTTTTTTCCCCCGCTAAAGGTGGGACTTGAAAGCAACGATTTATGGTATAGTTCAAAGGTTAAAGCCTCTCCCTGTTCTTTAAAGTTTTGCCTTTAAGTAGCCAGATTAGCTTTTAGTGCAGCCTGGAACAATAATCCTTAAGGTAATTACATTCCCTGTAAATGATTTATGGGGTATTAGCTGCTTTTTCTCTGATTTCTTCTGGTTTTTAATCCTGTTCTTGCATCTACAGTAACAAGTAATTCAGTTTTTTTTTTTACCAAGCCACTTAATGCTGACCTAAAAATTATAAATATATGGCATTTAAAAAGTCACTTGGCTCAGAGGATGAATTTTTATAAATTAAGGCTGTTTTTACTCAGATTACTGCATATTACATGGAGAAATGTATTGTTTCTTTTTTAGCTTCATCTTCCAAAACTATTGGACAGAGGTGTCAATCTACAAGCTTATTTTCAGCATTATAAAGCAGCACATGCTGTTAAGTAAATAACCCTTTAGCACTGGGAACAGATAAGGTAGAATATGTTATTTGAGCTTCGGTTAAATCAGATTGCCACAGTTTCATGAGATGTGCCACAATATATAGACTCAGTATAAACAACACAGAGGGTCCCAGTTATATAAATGAAGTGAGGCTTCACTATAGCACGAATAACCTAAAAAAAAACAATCCACTGGACTTTGTTTCCAAGTTTGAAGACGTTTCGCTTCCCGTTGAGGAAGCTTTAGCAATTGAAAATGTAGGGAATAGTGTTGAATTCGAGGACTTATAGAGTGGACCAAAGCAAAGCCTTGATTTGGTTTAGAAAACATGCAAATTGAAATGGAAAAACGGGTCCGCCCCTTTGGAATGGGGGTGGTTTGAGTTCTTTGTTAGCCTGTAATACGCAAAACCTGTCTATGTCTCTGAAAGAGCCCCCCTTTCAAAGACATTTTCAATTGAAAAAGCTTCCTGGATGGGAAGCGAAACGTCTTCAAACTTGGAAACAAAGTCCAGTTGATTGTTTTTTTTTTACTTTTTTGGAATGACTATGACCTGGAGGACTGAGAATCATCACCAGCGTACAGATTCATTGGTCTCATGCTCTTCCATGCAGACGCTCTGTTGACACAGATGAAAATGTACTCACCTCAGCATGCTTAATGCTTCAACTGGCTTCAGTGGCAAAAACGTTGGTCATATCTTCCAAATAATTCAGCTAAAAATGCTTTAGAACACTGAGCTTTCAATCATAATCATTAGAAATGTTAAACACAAGAGGATTTTTCAGATTTTTTTTTATTTTTAAGCTGCACCAAAATGCATAAAACATCAAGAAAGGTGACAGCAGCTAAAAGCTCCAGTTTAAAATTGGTACTGTGCTGCATTGCTGGTGGTATGCTAACAAAACCCTGGTTTCATCTGTTACATATAAGACATCAACAGATTCTTAATGCACAGTTTTTCTCTTTTTTTTGCATTCAAGAAAAAAAAGATATAGGAGGCCTTCAAAAATAAATATATAAAAATTAATGCAATGTGAAGATTTAAAACGCATTTGTCCTCCAACAGTATTTTAATGGTTTAACCTATGTGGTTCATGCTAAAATGATACACCTCTTCCTTCAGTCTCTCTTATTTAATACTGGAATCCAGTCATTATATTTACAACTAGAAGGGATCATCCTTTACATCCTAGTGTAGATCGCAGAGGCTTAGAGCTAAATCCCATTTTAGAAAGAAGATGCTGGTAACAGTGTTTGATAGTGGAACTTGGCAGACAACAGAACAATGTCAGGGAGATTAGCGGGACATCAGAGCGGCTTTGGCAGGGGGAGCGACACTATGTCAAACATCTAATGAGGCATGTTTGCATCCATCTTCATCCCTCTTTTATTATGCGTTTCCTGTTTGTTTTCCATGCGTCATGCATCAAACCTCTCTGCCTTCGCACCCTGCCCTCCCGAGCAGAACTTCGGCCTGGACTATCACACGTTCCAGCACATGGTTGGAGACTGTCCGCCTGACTTCCTCCAGCTGGCCTTCAACTGCTGTAACGTGAGTCCGCCATCCTGCTGTCCGATCGCTCTTTCTGTGGGAAATTGGTAGATAAAATCAGCAGCTGCTGTCTGATTGGAAGAAAAAACCAACACAACACTCGCTGACAAAGTTGTTTAAAGTTTCGTTTTTAAAGTGCACTTTTGGAGGGATTTTTTTTTTCATTTTATTTTCAGCTTTAAATCCATTGTTAAGAAAAAGAGGCAGTCTAATTATCAGATTAATCGGATTTAGTCTGCAGGATTTTGTTCTCTGCAATCTGTAGTGTTATTTCCCTTCATCAAAAGGTTTGTATAAATATTTTCAGGTGGTTGTTTTAAATATATTTTGCTGGGAATATTTTTTTTATGCAAGTTCATCACTTTACTGAAACTGTAGGCCTTATTTTCTATTTCTTCTTATCTGTTGCTCCTTTTTAGCTTAATTACATCTCCTGACGATAATAGTATTAAAGTTTTTTGCTCTACCTGCTAGTTGATCCTGTGCAGACTCCTTTATCCCCTCTCATCCCTTTCTGTTGTCTGTCTCATCATCCTCGTCTCTCTTATCCGTTTCTTTATCTTCTTCTTTCCAGCTAATTAGCTGCATTGTTTCTCTGTGGACGCCTCGGATGGTTTTATTCCAGCTACAACCTCTAATGGAGAAACATGAAGGATTATTTAAACCTGGCTTACAACTTTGAGCTTTTTCTAGATGAATAAACATCAGAGAGTAAATCTGGCGTCTTCCCTGGATTCATCTTTCATTCCTGGCTTCTGAAAAACCTATAATGGTGAAAGCTGAAATTGCTAAATCTCAAGTTAAAAGAAATGAAAAAAAAAAACAACTAATGCGAAAGTATTTATATTTTGAATTATGAAATCCACAATGCCAGATAATCATATAATTGCTATAATCGGAGTGCCATAGATGGTTTATTTTCTTTGGGATATCTTTTTTAACTTTTAAAATAAATTTTTAAAAAAAGCTACTTGCATTTGCGTTCAGCCCCATTTATTACGACGCCCCCAAAACCAAAACCAGTTTCTATCAGAACTGATTTTGTTCATAATTCTAGTCCACCTATGAAAGGATTAATCTCAGATTAAATCCAGCTGTTTTGTGAAGGTTTTAGGTTTGTAAACGTACAACATCATGAAGCCATGAATAAAACAGACAGGTTAGGGAGAAAGTTGCAGAGGAATGCTTAGCAGCGTTAGGTTATGAAACATTACAAGCTTTAAACATTTCCATGCGGACCTACCAAAAGATGGCAGGTCACCTAAACCAACAGGCAGAACAAGAAGAGCATGAATCAGATAAGCAGCCAAGAGGCCAGAGGTGATGCTGGAGGAGCTGCAGAGATTCACAGCTCAGCTGGAAGGAGAAGTATCGGTGAAGCAGCTGGTGAATCTGACCATAATAGGAAAGTGGGCATGTAGGGAAATCTGCAAAGGTCTGGTCAAAAAAGGGCAAAATGTAATTTTTCTGTACTAGATGCTGCAGAAAATGACCTCAGCTTTTGATTTATCCTCCTCATATGAGCTGTAGGATCATGTTGTGGGGAGGCAGAGACGGGGAAACAGGCCAGAAGTGATTGGAAGGATGGAGCTAAAAGAACCGGGGCGATCCGTTAGCAGGGCATGTTGTTATTAAAGAAGAGAGAAACCCAGCCTGAACAAAGGGGGTGGCCAGAATTCAGACTAACTGATACCTTCCTGCATGTGATCAAAATATCCTTTAATGTCCCAGGTTATAAATGGCATTACTGATGGGAGGGGAGTGAATTTAAAGGTGCATCAGTGACTGGCTCAAAACTGAGGAAGCAACAATTAAACCTTTTCTTTTTGCTGTTATAGATGTTAAAAAAAAACTTAGTGTACTGTCATTAAATCAAATGGTATTTGCATACATTTTAAGGTTTAATGGAAAATTTTAAAAGTTTTTATGTTTGGTAGTTTTTTTTGCCTTTTTTGAATTGGTTTTTAAACAATGTGATTTTGTCCCTTCAGATGGATCCTAAACTCCGTCCGTCGTTTCCGGATAACGTCCGACAGCTGGAGGAAATTCTGGCACGTCTCAAAGTCGTAGAGATGGAAAACGAGTCCAGCAGCGGGGAGAACGAAAAGAAAGCCTTGCCCAAAGGTAACAGCCATGGGAGATCTTGCATAACGCTGCCGCCTCACAGCCAGTTCAAGCTGTTTGTTTATAAGAAGCAGCTCGTAAATTCCAGTAAAACACGGAGAGGATTTAATCCCGGATGGGAAATGGAGATGATGTCATGTTGGTTATCTGACTCCATCATTATACCTCATCTGAACCTCAGGGGAAGATCTGGTCAGAGATGGACCTTTATTTTAGTTTGAGACCTGATCCATGCAGGTCAGCGTGTCTCCTCTAACTCAGGCCTCCGTCTGGTTTCCTGCATGTCAACAGCAGTAGATCAGACAGACGCTCAGCGATAAAGAAAAAAAGAATCTCATTCCTGTTGACGGAGGAATTATTTCTTATGTTTTGTGCAAAACATGGAGGCGATCCGACATCTCTTCCCACTGCTCAGCTGTTTGTGGTTGTTACATCACAATCTCCTCCTGCTTTGGCTGAAAACATCAACTAACTCTAATCGACAGAGATTCATGTTTCAGAACAATGTTTTAATTTGCTTTTTTTTCTTCTTTAAAGTAGAACGAGTCAAATATTTCCAACAATAAATATACAGCAATGTCCCAGCAGTGGAGGATGATTTATGGTCATGGTTTCCTTTATCTTCTTTGATTAAAGATGTTATTGTGAAGTTAGTTTGTCTCATTTAGCTTTCAGGATGTAAAGTTCTTTTTCCTGCTTTGCTCCATTAGATAAACTCATTTGTTTGTAAACTTAATACTTACTATCAATCAACATTTTCTCAGAGGGTGACTCAAATCCTTTCACAAAGCCTGAATAAATAATCAACCCATGGCCTTAGAAAACACCTAAACTCAGGGAGCCGTAAACAAGACCCCCTGCTGCCATCTAGTGGCAATATTTGTTATGCAGTTTGTCTTCTCACAGACTAACCCTAATTGATCACATTAACAGATTACAAAGAAATAAAATAAATTGCAGCAGAATTCCTTTAAGCAAGGTATGTCTGAGGATTATTAGACTTTATGGGGGGAAAATAATCTGTTTGGAAATGTTTTATGTTCAAAAATGTTCTTGTTAATCCCTTTATTTTGAAGTTAAAAGGCTGCTTAAAGTCTTAAAGTGACTAAAATATAATGGGTGATATAATGGGAGGAGAAGAAGTAAAGTTGGATGATTTCCTACTGATTCGACAGGATGAAGGATTGTGAATATTTTTAGACATCCCCTACCCAATCTCAGCGCATTGCTTAAAACGCTGCTGCTGTAAAAATCTGGGCTGTGTTATTATTTTCTGACATAACATGAACTATTACGAGAAAAATGTTGACATTTATAGAGATTTGAGAGCTGCACGGTGGAAAGGTTTCCTTCCATTTTATTTTGGTTGTGTTTCTTTTTGTAAGAGTTATCTCAACCTGCTGAGTTCTAGAGGAAGTCAGAGAAAAGCAATGAATAAACCTTATATAACTTTTGTCCGTTCCAGTTCTGCATGATGTGGGGTCAAAGAGTTAGCTTCATTCAATGCTAGGCAGTGAGATAAACTGAAATAGACCTGAAGGCTGTCAGCACTACATCCAGCATTTAATCCTAATTAGATTGGAACTATGTGTGATCAAAACAAGAAGATATATCATTTAGCGTTTGTGTGTTAGTTTTTTTAGTGTATCAAAAGTGTTGATTTAAAATCTTAAAATTTCGCTGCTGGTGAGTTACCGAGTGATGTGACTAGTTGGGAGTGCTGTCAGATAAAAGATTGATAATAAATTAATCAAAACTTGAAAAATTAAACCTTTCTGTTTTTTTTTTTATTTAAGCGGAGAAAATTCAAGGCTTCAAACGACTGAATCCTCTTGGCTGCCAAAACGATAAAATCCCGCCCAAATCGCCTCGGCCCAGACGGAACATCTGGCTCAGCCGCAGTCAGTCGGACATCTTCTCCTGCAAGCCAGGGAGAAACATCAACGTCCAGGACCCTTATTATGACCCGCCCACCTCTCAGAGGAGCCCCCGCACCCGTAAGATCAACCCCTTCACCGCCAGAGAGGACCTTTGCGGGGGGAAGATCAAGTTTTTCGACGTGCCCAGCAAGTCCGTCTTCTCGCTGGTTTTTGACCTGCACTCTCCTCCGGGAAGCGTGTTCAGTAACCAGGCCTACGGACCCCCAGGATCCCAGCAGGAGACGTCCTTTTACTGGCAGCAGCTGCCTGGGAGGCAGTGCCACTCCCTGCCGGTGTCCCCCCAGCTGCCTCGCTCTGACATGTCCTACCTGGTCGACCCCATTGGCTCCAACATCACTGGTTCTGCTGCTTGTTCGTCTGCTCTGCTCTCCAACACGCTTCCAGGTAAGTTCACTGAACAACCCCAGAAAAGAACATAAATGATCATCACTTATATATTTCCCTTTGATTGTTTCTGTCAGTCTGTGGTTCATTGAACATGTAGGAGCCTTTTGTGTTGATTAAAATAGGAGTGAAATCCTGGAGGATTATCATTCTGATCCACATAAACTCTTCAGCATGGTGGATCTGGACCACATGAGTTCCTTTAAACAACTTTGTGTTTATAAAACTTCAAGCTCAATCCTGCGAATTTTCAACATGGGTAGAGGTGGGATTTAGAACGGATTTTAAACATTAACAATGTTCCAGATGATCAGCACAGTGCTGAGGGTATCTGTTACTGCCAGAGGCGCTTAAGCTCTGCTTGGAACATTAGACCTGGGAAAGATGGATGGGCGGTTCTAGACAGGTGCCAATAGGGGCCCTATCCAACTGGTCCTGGCACCTTGGTAAATTTGTCTTAAAGAGAGTCTTTTTTTCCTTAATTTAAAAAGGTAAGACAATTTGCAACCTAAAGAGGGGTTGACGTTAAGAGTTTTTACCACTTGCCCTTTGGGCAAGTGACTTTCACATTTCATTTGCCCAGAAACAATTTTTGCTTGGCCAGGTTAATGTTTTATAAATATAGTTCCTAATATTCATTTTTGTATATAAATAAATGAAACATGTTTGTTTTTTAAATGTTTGGATGTTTAGTGAACGGATGAGGATGGGTGGTGGGTAAAGAGGATCTCCGATGCTAAGTGGGTGGTGGGTTAAATAGGTGGTGGGTGTGTTACTGCACTTACATTTTTTTGCCTTGCTGTTGTTTTTTAGCCTGCTAAGTTGAAAAAAAATGTGTTTGATTCATGCCAATTCCCGCACAAATATCACGCCATCTGGCGGAAAATCACGCAGCTTTTTCAAATCCTGCGGCTTTTTCAAATCACCCGAGAATGTGTACAAAACAACAAAAATGTCGTCGGCAACGCTTTTGGGTCGTTTTCTTAGAATGTAGGTGATTTTTGAGTGATTATGCGAATAAAATGATACAGAAACACAGGTAAAATAGAGCTTTGTAGCTTGTTTGTCGTTTTGGTAACTACATCAAAATTACCGCTAGGTGGACAAAAATCACGCCATCAGGCTTTTTCAAATCACGCGAGAATGAGTACAAAACAACAAAAATGGCGCCTGCAACGCTTCTGGGTCGTTTTCATCGAATGTCGGTGATTTTAAAGTAAATTTGAGTGATAAATAATTTTTTTTTGCGATCATTGCACTTGCCCGGTGGGAAATGCAATGAAATTTGTACTCTCCCAACAATAAAAACTACTTGTCCCGGGCGATTTGGCGATGGTTAACATCGAGCCCTGCTAAATAAGATGATTTATATCTAAAGGAAGAAAAAAAACATCTCAATGATCTTATTTCAAGAGCATAACCTCCTTCCATCTTCTCTCGCTTATTCTGTCAGGGTGGCGGTGGGGCCGGTGCATATCTCCTGCTGTTAAGGGCCTAAGACAGGGTACACCGATACATAAAACCACGCGGAGACACACTCGCATCTAAGGATAATTAGAGATGTCAATTAGCCTAACAGTGTTATTGGGAGGAAATTGGAGTACCCGGAGAGAACCCACCCACGCACCGGGTCTTTCCCATTCCCAGGTCTTTTTATATGTAAACTCCATGTAAAAAGACCCGGCGCTGGGAATTGAACCCAGAACCTTCTTGCTGAACGGCAGCAACACTACAAACCGCCCACTGTGCAGCATAATATATAACTATCTTATATTTTAGAGCAGAAATGCTACTTTCTTTAGCAGATGATCCTATTTTCCTGCTCAAATTAAAGGCAAATGTGCATTTTAAAGAAGAAGAATTGTTACTTTTTAAATCGTTGATTTCTTATGACTGATTGTGAGACTGATTTGAACCTTTGATCAGTTTGATATTTTGCCTTGACAGTTTAGCAGTTATTAAGAAATTACAGTCAGTTTTAAGCTTTTGCTGAACTAAGATAGGATCACAGTTTTCCTCTGGTGGATCAGGAGTCTGCCATCTTGGCTTTGTGGCTCACTTAATGCACTAAACCACTAAACCATCTCCTCCTGCAACAGTTTTGTTTTGTGTGTGTTTTCTTTTGCTTACCTGGTAAATTTAATTTAGAATCACCACTGTGATAATGACTGAAACTTAGACCCAGTTGGATGTGAATTACAGGAAACCCAAACACTGCAAAGAAGAGATGCCAAAGCTCCTGCATGGCCGAGGTGCAGCTGTCAGAAGAACATTCAAATATGAACCATCCTTAAGGAGGTTTAATCATAAAAAGAATTACAAAGGCGTTCATCCAAACACCATCGGCAGTTGTAACAGGAAATGTCTCTAGCGGGAGATACTTCCTGTTGGCACTCGCAATAACTTATTAGCAGGTGTGGTAAAGTGATGAAAAGCCGACAATCATGACAGACGGGGGATTTTATAAATTAAAGTGACAGTGTGGTGATTTATTTGGTCAGGTGTCAAACCTTTGTTTAAGGAAGGAGGCAGATTATGTAGCTAATGGAGAACATTGGTTTGTCCAGGCTGCTCAGCTAAGATAGTTTCTAATGCTAATACCAGAATTTGTGGAGGAAACAACTAAACAGTCTCTTGGAATCAGCTAAAAACATTATAATGTCTCTGATTTAGAAGAATGGGTGAATATAAGATGATTCCCTTCAAAGCCTGCATCAGAGCACTAACATTTGTCTGAAATAAAGCTGTCAAATTTATTGAACTTCTGATAATATGGATATTTTTCCTTTCAGCAACCAATTCCAAGACCGACACGGCGCCGATACTAAACGACATCCGACAGAAAGCGGCGCTGAGCTATTGGGCCAGAAAGTTCGTGGTGGTGGAGATCCCGCCTTTCTGCAGGCAGAGGGGAGGGGCCAACGAGGGAGGAGGCGGGGACGCGGAGGCGAGGACGGAGGACACTAGCGGGGAGAGCTGGTCTCCGATGCTCACGGGCAGCGAAACGGACAGCGGAGAGGCGATGGACTGCTCCGGTGGGCGAGAGGTGGAGGAGGAGAGGAGGGAAAGGGGGATGGAGAGCTGCGTTGGCTCACCGTGAACGAGACTGAAGGACTCTGAACTGCTTCCTCCGGGGGGGGGGGATAAGACTGGAAAGATTTATTAATAAAAGCACTCACTCTAATCTGTCAAGTGAATGTATCAGATTTGGAATGAATAAACCACTTGATGTGACGAATAACTGTCTTTCAAAGCGATCACCCGGTTAGCACAGCAGGCTTCACACTTTCTGTAAAGATTATACTCTGAAGCAAAGTTGTTGATATTTAATATTTTGAGATGTAGATATTTTTTTTCCCTCAAAGACCGTCCTGTATTTTTTTTTTTTCTCCTCGGTTTTTCCTGTGGGATATTGATGATCCCTTTGTGTAGCCTGTGTGGATTTAAAAATGTGTTTTGATATTTTTCAGTGTTTGCTCTAAGACAAATGCTTCTGCTACATTAAAGAAACAAACCCCCCATTTTTCTGGTGAAAAAGGTCTGACACTGATATGGAAATGAAAAGAGGAATTTCTTATTTCTTATTCTTTATTTCAGCTGAATTTTTCCCCAGTGGGTTAAGGACCTGAAACCTGTTTTATTAGATTCATTACTTCTCCCTAATAAGCAGCTTCATTCCATCTAGGGTTAAAGTACCACACTGCAATATTTAAAGAAATCATTATATATTTAAGCCTTTAAAGCCTGAACCTTGAAATAATTGAAAGAACATTCAAATTTTTCAAATTTAGAATGTCATTGAACTTTCTAAAAAATGTATAAGTAAAATTAGATCATTTATTTGCATCAAATTTGATACATTAATCAGTTCTGTATAATCTTTTTTACATTTTCTGTTCACTACATGTGAATCTTACGGAGCCCCTAAAGGGACATGGAGGGAAAAAATAAACTTTTGTGAGATCTCGCAAAAAATAAACTTTAGCGAGATTCCGCAATACTTTTGCGAGATCTCGCAAAAGTTCTTTTTTTCCCCTCCATGTCCCTTTAGGGGCTCCGTAGAATCTGAATAGTCACTTAACAACTAAAACATCAAACTGATGATGCAGAAATCTTAAAAAATTGTGTCAAATATGATACACTGGGCTTTAAAGGGTTAAGTGAATATTTATATACATTTAAAAATACATTTTGGTTTTGAAGATACATGATTTATATCATATTTTGATAGGTTCAATACCAAAATGTCGTTTTTTAAGATAAAAGCATATATGAATATTTTAAATGTAAAATGAATTCATGGTTCTTTACTGAGGAAAATTCAGATACATTTTTTAGCCTGTCTGTCACAGTAAGTGGGCGGGGCTTATATTTTTATAGACTGGATGATTTGTCTACGGTTTAGTTAACCAATCCCATATTTGCTTTTATTTCTCAGTGGGCAAATTTAAATTCAGCTTTTTTGTTTTGTTCTTTTTTTAAATCTAAAATAATAATAAAAACCCTGAGATATATTAATCTCTTCATAATACAGTTAAATTATTTAAATAAATGTGATTTTATTGGTGGATTTTTTTGTTTTTTTGTATATATCACTGTCATTATCAATAAATTATTAGATTATTTATCTATGGGATTGTGTCGCTTCGACCCTCCATAGATGAATTCTAAATCCTATTTTTATTTTTTTTGTGTGTGTGTGTCAGAGCAACCTTTACGCCCTAAAAAAGCCTCTATTTGTAGTTGAAACCTTAATACTATTTTTATAACATTTACTTGCATTAAAACAGAAACTATATGGTTAAACTTCAGAAGGGTTAAGTAAAAATCTTAACTAAAATGATGCTGAGAAATATATGGTATGTAATTAAAATATTAGCATCAGCTGCCTTGTTAATGTTATATAAATTTCAGATTATATATTTTTTTTACCCTTTAAAGTGTCAACTCTTTTCCTTGAAACAGTGTTTTAGAGCATCCTCACTTTAATTGATTCATACCCAGGATGCATTGCTCAAATGTTTTCATCCTGAGTTTCTGGGCAGAGAAAATTGGTTCAACGTACCATGAACAAATAAAAAGGGTTTATTTATAGAATGAAATGTTCTAGTTTCAGGTATGTAAAGAAAAGAGACGGCCACCCAGACCTCGAAGTAAAATTGTTGTTTAGACTGGATTAAATACGTCTTTGTGGTATGTGTCTCCAGAAAAAATAACTGCTTGTATTTTGGATCCCATACTTCTACTAAATGTATAAAACAGATTTAAAGCAAAGGATTTTCATTTTCTTTTTCAGTCCTCATTTTAGGTCTTGAACCATTCTTCAAGTTTGAGCAAAAGCGTTTATTTTTTTTTTTTAAACTAAATGATCTATGAAATGTATTATTTAGATCTAAACTTGGTCTCTAACAGGACTTCATCCTTTCACTGTCTCCCTATGCAAGTTTGGTCATATAGTTTTACAGAATAAAGGATCTGCTTTGATATTTATGGAACCATTGATGTAAAGCTGTGGTGTGTTTTTTTTGAATCCCGACTGAAAAAAAAAAGTTATTTTCCGATCAAATAACAAAAGCAACTCTTACGTTTTCTGTGTTTCTTGTTATGGTTTTTGTCCCTCCTGGAATTTAAATTTTAATTCAGAAATTAGTCATTATTTGTTCTCTGGACTTCATCTGTATGTAATTATTATTTAATAAGCATTTAGAAAATCTAATTTACACAGGAGTACTTCAATGAGTTTAATCATGTTAGAGTTCCTAAACACTAAAGGTCTGCATTACTGTGGAAAAACAGATTTGCATTTCAGTTTGCTTCTATCTGTCAACCATCAGTGTTTATCAGTGCATCAACTCCTCACCATTATTTCAAATCACCAATCCCTCCATGCACCACCTTCTCTTTATTGTACAGTTTTTATATATTTGAATTACTGCAGAAATCGTTGCATGGTAATAATGATGGACTTTTGTACTCCTTGGAAAAATGGATACAATGCATATGAATATGAATAATAGTGATCTATGACTGTGTCCAGTGTTCAAATCTTTTGCAAGCAAAGACACAAAATTCCTCTACTACACAGGAAAAAAAGCCAATTGACATATTTGCAGACCTCATGCATCCTGGACACAACAAACGTTGGATTTTTACCAACAGGTCGTCAATACAGTGCAGTATTTACAAAAAAAAGGCATCACAGAGTTTCTTTCTCCAAGCGGACTCTCTGATAATCGCCTTACAGCCTGAATAGTCAGCTGCTTTGCTTTCAAACAAAAGAACATTTGCATTTCCACAACCTTCCATTTTTTGTTTTCTTTACATTTAGGATAAAAAGAAAACGGATATACATTCACCTTTATAACGCTTATTTTATCCCCATTTAATTTCCTCCTCTTTATCTACACTTAAAAGCAACACTGTGAGTTATTGAAATCAAAGATTCTTGTTTGTTCACAAAATCTTGGCTGATAAAGTTGATTCTTATTGTTGATGGTGGCAGGAGTAAAAGGTGAAGCCAAGAGCAGTTTAGGGATGAATTGTTTTTAAAGTTTTGAAGATGATCAAAATTTGTTACTTAACCATAACCCCATTACTGAACTTTGAAGGAAAATAGTGAATATATATATATATATATATATATATATATATATATATATATATATATATATATATATATATATATATATAATACTTCTCTGAAATAAAAATTGTTTGCTTAGCCAATCAATTGTGCATGCTGTTGTGCAAATGGAATAGACACCTTTGTACAAGGAGGAACAGGAGGAGCACTGCCTTAGCCCTGTAAAATGAGCTCCATCAGGCCACAAAACTGCATCTGTCTGCACAAACCGTTAGAAACTGACTCCATCAAGATGGTATGAGGCCCAACATCCACAGATCGAGGTTGTGCTCACAGCCCAACACCATACAGGGTGCTTGGCATGTGCCAGAGAACACAGGATTGGCTACAATGTAGCTTCCAACCATCAGCGTGAGTGGGTCCGTAAATGACTGAATGTAGTATAAAGTGCTTTGGAGCCCTTGGATGTGAAAACCACATCAGTGAAACCACATCATGATGTCTACTTTGCAACTTCTAAATCAGCTCTTTAGTATAAGGTAAACATTACGTAGTATTCCAAAACCATTTGCTAACCACAGTGTGCCCCATTAACCATTACATCACCATTACTTCATTATTGCTTACTAGGTAAATGTTTTGTATATCTTCAAGTGGAATCACACATAAAACCTTTTAACCATTGAGTAACCACTATGGCCATTACATGACTAGTTTTTCTGTAGTGTGAAGTGAAACTGCCCATTAAAGTTGTTTACCATGACTTTATTATAACTGTAAAAAAGTTAGTCCCTGTTCATGAAAATTCCTACCTTACCAAGGTTCCTAAACTCACCACATGAATAGCACTCAGTCCGGAGCAGACATCGGTTTAACGATCTGCAGTGTGTGCATCCATAGAGTAAAACCACACACACCCCCAACAGGTCCTTAAATGCAGATAAATCAATCAAACCTGATTAAAGGAGTCTGCCTCTTCTTACTGCAAGCATCTGAACATCCCTACAGCGTCCTGACCTGACACTCTGAAGCGATTGTTGCCACCTAAGTTCCATATACAGTCAGTCTATTATACACTAACCATTAAAAAAATATTTCTGAATACCCCCCTCACACATAACTCTCTTAACCATTAACAAATATTTGGTAAATGGTAAATGGCCTGTACTTAATTAGCACTTTTTCAAGTCAGCATACTTGACCAAAGCGCTTTACGCTACATTCATTCATTCATTTATTTACGCACTCACTCACACACTGATGGTGGCAAACTACATTGTAGCCACTGCTGCCCTGGGGCTCACTGACTGAAACGGGTGTGGTTGGAAAATTTAGATGTCTCCTATTTCATATATTGAATTATACTATTTATCCACTGAAAAGTGTTTTTACTCAGTCTGTTTCACGAACCAGATTCTTTCTCAAGGTTTATTCGTAACATGTTACTATTTAAATAAAGTGTATATAATTTGTTTTGTCCCTGACTACTTTCCATTGTTGTAAGTAAGGGGGAACAAATGCTGCCCAGGCAGAACAGGGCTGATTACCAAGCAGAAAGGGCTGTATGATGAACTGTTCTCTCTTAGCAAAGAAGAAATAAAGTGCCGACTGAGTGAAATCCATCGATCTCCGTTTATTTAACTGTAGTGAATAGTTGAATAATTTTTTCCCACGACACGAGGCTGCCGTACACTGGCGCCAACGGGCCCTCTGACCACCATCACTAGGCAATGCAGGTACGGTAAAGTGTCTTGCCCAAGGACACAACGACACTGAAAGACAAAACTGTCAACCCTTCCATTTCAGGGCAAACTCCTACATCTGACTCCCTTGTTATTATTTGGTCCCATCAGAAGAGGTCACACATCTAAACTTGGTAACTTGCTTCAGCATAATCTAACGAAGGTAATTATTTCAATTTAATTTCACATAAACTGAAGCCACATATTAAAATCTATTGGTAACTGTTAGTTCAATTGTACTTCAACTACATGAATATGTGTCCTGTAAAGAGACATTCTGTATGTTTTTACAGAAAAATATCTTTAAAACAGCCTTTTTATTTGACCCTTTACAACTCAAAAATCTTTAGATGAGCAGACTGAAACCTCAGTAGTTCAGTGCCCATGCATCTTTAACCCTGTAATCTGTTTTCCCTCGACTTACTTCGGGTTGGATGTTCCCGAGCTGCAGATGTGACGTCGAGCGCGTCCATGTTAAATGGATCGAAACCACTGAACTCTATTTATTCACTGGATTGCTGATAGGCCATTGGTAGTATGGGCTGGAGTGAACTCACCAGCCGCCATATTGGTACTCCCTAGTTAGATCGGTCGCAATATAAACAATTTGTGCACTACAGTATCGAACAACGATGATTTTCCCATTTTCAGGGAGGCTTAAGACTTTTAAAATAAAGAAAAAAAATCATCACTTTGATACACATTTGATGTTTCATTGCATAAGTAGATTGCTTTAACTTATAATGAAAAAATAGGCACATCACACTGCATAGCATTACAAAGTCAAGAAAGTCTCTAAATCATGTAATATAACATATTATACAAATTTATCACAATAAAATTTATCTGTTAATGGATCACAATAATACAGATGTGCCAATAGTACCAAACTGATAATGTACATCTAATTCAATTCACTTCAATTCAGTTTATTTATAGAGTCAATTCACAACATGTCATCTCAAGGCACTTTACAATTCACCCAGATCATACAGTTAAATTGATTCAAAGTTTTCTATCTAAGGAAAACCAGTTGATTGCATCGACTCATTGACTCAAATGCAATCCCTCACACTAATAATACATGTATTTATTACATTGTTATGGTAATTACATATAATTTCAGAATTTTACATCAAGATTGAATTATACAAGTATATGTTTGTTAATATTATAATGTTTTTTTTATTTTCAAAGTGTGCATGCATGATGCCACATACTTTTATGTTGTCTGTGCATTAGCCTTTAACTCTGACAGATTTACAACAGAGCTAAATTCATTAACCAGTTTAATAATTCCACAGAGCTTAAATTTCTACACCAGCAAAATCACATAAATTGGCAAAATGAGAGGCAATATCAAATTCATATTTTACTTTTTGCTCATAGTTACAAGAATCTGATAATTTGCATTATATATATACAAGTATGTCACAGCAAATCGGCCAGTGTTAAATCAACTCCCATAGTGTTAAATTTAACACTTTTCTTGAGTTTATATAATTCTCACTGGTTCCGAGTTAAATCTACACTATGCATAGTGTTGATAGTTTAACTCTATTTCAGTGAACACATTTGAGTGCTGTTTCCTCACCAATTAGTGTTAAAACTTCACTTTAAGTGTAACATCTTGACACCTAAAGTGTTATATTTTTAACACATTTGAGTGTTGAATTAGCTTAGCTTAACTCACTATAGGGGTTACCATGTAACACTATTTAGTGTTATTTTGTACAATAAATACTGCTTTTTCTAAAACTAAACGTTCATCTGAACTGTGTGCAGAAGTGTGCAGTGCACATTTACATACATGAAATACACTCATCTCACTGTTCTACTAGTTTTAATTAGGTCGTCTTATACAAAACGGGGAAGAAAGACAAGCAAATAATACATTTATAATTTTTAATAGTGTATGTGTGTGTGCATGTATGCACACACACATACACTATCCAGTGATTGAATACCTTTAATATTATAACTTACACATGTAGTGTTAATATAATATTAACATATATATATGTAGAAGAAGAATTGTAATACACCTAGTGGTGCAACCTGGACACATCTTCAGTGACTCTCCCGAGATCACTGGGTGTTTCGGGTCTTAGTCATACACCCTCACTCGGGTGACCCAGCCGGGGGTGATCAGTTCCCCGACTAGCGCACTACGCCACGCCTCCCCCCTCCTCAACCAGAGCCACCGTGAAGCTTTTTCAGCTGCTTCCAAGATGTTCTTGGTTACTCTTCGTCTCTGCAGACCGCAAATCCCTAGGAGTCCAAGGACACTGTGTAGAGATCTGCCTGCGAAGTCCCTGCAGCCCACTTCAATAGGCTCGCAGCGGGCCTTCCAGCCATTCCTCCGGCACTCAGCCACAAGTTCNGTGCGGACCTCTATCCCTGCTGAAGACACCTTCCCATCAGTGGAGTCTCTGTAGAGAAGGACTTCTCTAGCCCGGGCAACCTTGAACTCCTCTGACACGCTGCTCAATGGGAGCGTGAGCTTGGTCCCATGTCCAAACAGGGCAATACTGCTCAGACTGCGAGGCAAGCCCAGCCACCTGCGCAGGTACTGACTGATCTTCCTCTCATGTATATATATACTGTAAAATTACCTATGAAACGTCGTCCCAGAGCTGGCAAACTGCTTGTTTTTGCAGCCAAATGCTACACGTGTAGCCAAATTTTCCACTGTAACCAAATCTCATTGAGAGTGGGGAGTACAAAGATGGCCGCAGGTGGCTTCACTTTTTTTGGGCTATCAGCAATCCAATGAATAAATAGTGATCATTGGCAAATAATCGAAGCGTTATATATTTAGGAGGGGTTTTGTGGATACTCACAAGTGACCGGCATGCAGCTCAACTCAGACACCAAGACATCAAGTGAAATGGGAGCTACAACAACGACTAGAAGGGTACTGTAGTTCTGTGTTCTGGCTACAAGTGGCAGTATCATTAGAATACTCTGTTATGTCTCTTTAAAATAAAGTCATGCAATAAAATGTGCTGTTAAGCCTCAGTTAACCAGGAACCAAATATAAGCTATCAATTTACAACCAGGACAAGATCAAAATAGAATACAACAGCAGGTTAAAGGAAAGTCCAAGCAGGCAGATTCAAATGAAGTCCCAAGTTTAGTTTAGTTATGAAGTTTAACACCTAGTGGAAAGAAGGAAGGAGGGAAGGATCTGCAAAATGCATTTTTTTTCAACTAGGATGCAGCCTCTTTTACTGAAGAAGCTCCCAGTTTCCTCTGCAGCCTCATACATGAGCTAAAATACACTGTCCAAGGATGATACTAACTTTGTCAAGATATCATCAGTGTGGAAGAACATCCTGGAACAGAGCTGAGCTCATTTCATCTCTGCCTCTCAGCTGTAGATAAGCTGCTGCTAGAACAAACTAGAAGATGGATGAAGCCACCATAGAGCCAAAGGTCATCAGGGGTGCCTCCTGTATCAGCCTCCTTAACCTGTAAAAAGCATCTATGTTGTTACTGTAGCTTATTGCTCAGGTAAACAACCAGAGACTTTAAAGACCTTAGACTTAGACAGCTTTTCTTGTCGTTTTTGTATGCATAGTGTGTATAACAGAGTGTACATTTTATTTTTTACAGCTTACAAGACATTTCCATTTAGTTTGATTTTGTCAGTGTGATGCAGAATCTTTGACATGATTGAGAGTTTTCTTAACAGTTTAGCAGTCTGATGGCATTAGAGAAGAAGCTGTTACAGAATCTGCTGGACCTGCATCCAATACTTCGAAGTCTCTTCCCAGAGGGCAGCAGGGAGGACAGTCCATGGTGGGGGTGAGAGGGGTTATTGATGATGTTACGGGTTCGGGACACGCAGCGCTGGGATGAAATGTCTTTTATGGAGGGAATAGGAGCCTCCTCACATTCTTCCAGTCTGAGGCTCTGCAGCCTCCACACCACAGAGAGAGACAGCTAGTCAGAACGCTCTCTATGGTGCTTCTGTAGAAGGTTGTGAGGATGGGTGGGGGCAGCTGGGCTCTCCTCATCCTCCGCAGGAAGTAAAAGTGCTTCTGTGCCCTTTTGATCAGTGAGGTGGTGTTTACAGTCCAGGTGAGGGTGTCTGTGATGTGCACCCCAGGCATTTGGTGCTGCTGATCATCTCTACAGCTGAGCTATTGATGAGCAGTGGAGGGTGGTTAGGCCGGTCCTTCCTGAAGTCTAAGATGATTTCCTTCATCTTCTCCACATTCAGGATCAGGCTGTTATCTTTACACCAGTCCACCAGCTGCTCCACCTCCTCTCTGTAGTCCAGGTCGTTGTCGTCTCTGATGAGGCCCAGCACCGTGCTGTTATCTGCAA